AAAGGAAAAACTCATTAGATCATTTTGGATTTTAGATTTTTGGAACCATAACTATAATGCAAATATTCCAAAATCTAAAACTCTTCTGGTCCCAGATATTTTGGATAAGGGATACTTCGCCTGTATAAATTATCACAAATATATACAAAGTCATAGAGAATACCATAACACATACCTACCTATGTACCCACTACTCAATGGGAATTTTTTCTTAACTAAAAAATTACAAATATGTCTGAAATCTCCTATCTACTTTCCTGATCATATTCCTTTACCTCCCTAGTGGAGAACATTATCCTTTATCTTTCCATGCATGTTTCTATATAAATTACACATGTATTTATATCCACAGATAGTATTTAGTATTTTGCACGTTTTGAAACTTTATATAGATAATATACATACAATTGGTTTTACCTGCTTTTTTGCTCAACATTATGATTTTGAGATTCTACATTAATACACTCATTTATTTATTGCAACCGTTGTGTAGTATTCCATTGTATTATTTACTACATTTCATTTTCTTTGGACAAGCATGTAGGTTGTTTCCAATTTCCAAACTTACCCAAAAAAGCATGCTACAAAGCATGATCTCATATGTATCTCCTTATGCATATGTTAGTCTTTCTATAGAGTATATACCTAGAATTATAATACCTGATTGTATGTATATCCTTATGTTTTTGTCAAATTAACTTCTAAATTGATAATACCAGAATATATGAGAGTTCTATCTCTACATCCTGAATAACAGTTGATATTATCGACCTTTTTCTTTTTGCCCTTTTGACAGATAATTAGTATGTAAATGTTGTTTAATTTTTATTGTCCCAATTAATAATTAGGTTGAGCATCTTGTCTTATGTTTATGGACTCTATTGGTTTTGTCTTTTTGAATGCTTATATACATCCTTTGACCATGTTTTTGTCTTTTTCCCTTAGTTGTAAGAGTTTTTTATGTGTCATCTTTAATATGTACTTGTAGCTATCCTCTCCATATTTGTTCTGTCTTTTCACTTCATGATGTCTTTTGTTAAATATGTTTTTAAAATTTTATATTTTATGCTGTCTGTGTTTTATTTAACTCAGTAAATATTTGTTGAACTCCTACTATGTGCCATTTTAGGCATTGGAAATATAACATGGAGCCAAATAAACAAAAATCCCTGCCCTTCATGGAGCTTACCATCCTCCTTTGGGTCAGGGGGAGAAAGAAAGAATAAAGAAATATATGAGTGAAATACAAAATATATCAGAGCCAATAGGTGCAGGGAAAAACAAAATTAGGGAAGGGATGAATAGGCAATGTGGGGATAGGGAGGGATGTTATTTTAGTAGGAAAGGCCTAGCTGAGAAGCTGACATTTGAGCTAAAGCTTTAAAGAGGTATTTGGGCAGGGTCACAGCAAGTTCTAATAAACTGACTTTAATTTTAATTGATTTATCACATTTTATTTTAGATTAAGATCGATTTTTTTAATTGTCTTATATCGTTAATATCCAGTTTTGCTGTCAAAGTTACATTAGCCTAATAAAATAAGTTGAATAGTTTTACCTCTTTTCCTATTTTCTTAAATTGTTTGCATATGAGAAAATTATCTGTTCCTTGAAGATCCAAGAAAGCTACATTTGAAGGCATCTGGTCTTGGTGTCTCTTTCAAGAAGGGAGCACTTAATTACTGATATAATTTCTTTAATGGTTATTGACTTTTACAGATTTTCTATTTCTTGCATCAATGTTGGTAATTTTTTTTCTTTATGGAATATTATCCATTTCATCTATATTTTCAGATTTGTTAACAAAGTATTTATTGTTATTTTTTACATCTCTATTATATCTGTAATTATGCCATCTTTTTCATTTCTCATATTCTTTGTGTCTTTTTTCTTAACCAGTTTTGCAATATGCTTGTCATTTTTAATAGGTTTCTAAAAGAACCAACTTTATATTTGATTTTCTCTTCAGTTTCTTTATTAGCACTTTCACTGAAACTAATTTTATTTTCTTCTACTTCCTTTAGATGTACTCTCATTCTCTGTTTTCCTTCAGGTCATGCTTCATATTGCATTATCAGGAGACATAATGTCTGCTAGTCCCACTATTAATGATGCTAAATTTGATCATTTTGGTTAAAGTCATAACTTAGCTTTCTGTTGTTAAAGGGACATTATTCCCTTTGCAATCAGTAAGGAATCCATAGGGTAATACATTGGTACTGTGAGAATGTTGTGTTACTACTCAGCATTCTTTCCCCTGAGCTTAACAATGATTAATGATCTTCACCCAAATCATTTGTTTCATTGGGGCTTGCTAAATGATTGTTTTCTAATTATAATATTCTTTCTACTTTTATTAGCTGGTATTAGAAGAGTTTCCTTTTCTATTCTTATTGTTCCATCTTTTTTTTTTATTTTGGTTTGGTGGGGGTTTGTGCTTGTTTTTCAATTATTGTGGATTTTAATTTTTTTGGTATATTATAATCAATTATAGTCATTATTCATTTTTATGCTCAAATTGTCCCAAATGTGGCTAATAGGAACTTCTTCATACTGGTCATTGTATCTTTTCAACATGTCTCCATTAATCTTTGTGTATTTCCTTACTTTCTGGCAAAAGATTTTTCAAACCTACCTTGTATTCTCCCTACCTCAGGCTTGGAATTAGCCATTTATTAGTGGTACTGTCTTGACTAAAAGGCTGTCTAGTGTCTTTCTACTTCACCATTTTTCTGTCTTTAGAGTTCAGCATTTTTGCCATAATAAAATTACGCATTCCATTCTCCTGTTTTCTGACAGTTTTCATTGTTAAAATGGTTTTGTGGTAGGCCGCTTGGGAGATGGGAAGGAGTGCTGCTTTTTTCCTCTACAGCATAGATACTGTACATGTAAACCTTGTTAAAATTTAAAGTTAAAAGCCATTCTTACTTCAGCTCCATTAAGTACGATATGCCCTTGAAACAACTAGACTATTAAAGTATTAAGATACCTGACCAAGATGAATAACTTTAGCTCTGTGCCCTAATGATACTGCTTGCTGAAATTGAAATGAAAACCTAAAACAGTGAGTGTTCTTGGGACAGAACAAAAATCAAAAGCAACTTGGAGTACTTTATAAATGTTATATAAAATTTCAGTTTCCTAGGAGTAATTCCTTTTGAGGAATTTTTTAGAATATTCCTGAATCCTACTTCCATTTCATTAAGGCAGTCAAAAATCCTGTTGCTTTCAGGGTTTATTTTGATTCAGATAAATTCAGTTAATTTGGATTTGTGACAGAAAAAAGTTAATCAGGAATGTAAAGTAAATTCAACTAAAAGGACAAATATTGGAAATAGCTGTGTTACTTTTAGCTCTGTGTCAACCATGGCTCTCAGCTAGAATGTGCTAGAAGCTGCAGGGTAGTAGAGAAAGGTACTTCTCAAAGCTATCCTGACTCTACTTCAAAAGTTCTAATGGGGATAACGGAACAGACAAATCCATATCTGGAAATAAAAAAGCAGGTCCTATTGGTATATTATAATTTCAGGATAGATTTCCAGTGATCTTATGGCTTAAAATTGTTTCTTTTGGATAATATGAGGGGATTATTGATATAGGTATTTATCTCACTACTCTAAAGATAAACCATAGATTTTCTAAAAATACTAAAAAACAAATGAAAAATAAACATATAGCCTCTGGTATTTGGACTTCAAGTAATTACTCAAAAAATTAACTATATGATTAGAAGTAGAGACTGAATGATTGAGACTACCACAACTGTCATTAATGATCATTTGAATCTAATCCAAATTATAAAGCATCCCTAAAAATCTGAAAGGAAAACCTTTGTGAAAATGATTATTTTCGATTTAATTTGTTTTCCTGATTTTTCTATTTTATTCTTGTGTTTAATTTTAGATCGTAAACTCTTTGTAATATAATCTATATTTATAAACTTACATTCTCTACAATGTTGGTAAAGTATCATGGGCATACTTGTGCAATAAATATTTTCCAGCTGTTGGAGATCCTTACCAAAGGCTTAGGACCCTTCTGGTATAAATCACTATACAGCTGTCCTCTTTGGCAGAGAGCTAACATTAAAAATCTTGGCTGGAATTCTTTTGCTTAAACAAGGCAAACCTGTGAAGTGTTGAATTATTAAACATTTTATTTGACAACTGAGGTTTTGCCTTATCCAAATTTTAATGATTTATAGCTTATTTGCTCACTGGAGGTCAGCTAAAGCTCTTAGCTTCTTAGACATTACCAGTAAAACACAGTGAGTGCTTATTTAGCTTTCATCTGTATCTATACTCATGTTCATTAATTTTCCATTATTTTTCCTTGTCTCTCCTTTCATAAAGTGAATGTATTATTTTTTCCTTAAAGAAACTGAAAAGGCAGCCCTGTTTTATAAGGCATTAATTCACTTTTTGATAAACAGTTGTGTTTTGAGGGTTATCACCACAAGAGAAGAAAATTATGGTTAATGAAGTAGGAAGATTTTATTATAACTCTGGCTGTGAATAAAATAATTTGCTTATTAGTAAAGATAATATCTTCCTCTCTGATATTTTCCTTTCTTTAGTAGGTACTAAAGTATTTATAAAACTCAAAGACTTATTTTTCTACCTCTTATTCCTGACTATTAAATGTAAAAGTTCATAGAATTTCCCTTTCTTCTTAATTATGTATAAATTTTTCCATAGTATTTCTGAACATTCTCCAGAGTGTCTTAATACTCCCGCATGCTAAAGACTTATCCATTTAAAATAATAGTATAACCATCAAGTGTCTACCTTATTTTATTTATATTTTTAAGTGAAAAAAAGATCATTTTATTGATGAGCTAAAGAAAGAGCATTTAAAATCTGTGAATCAAATATTATTTCATAGGTATAGACCTAACATTGTAATACTTACATGAAAAGGAAATAAAAATCATCTTTTAAAAGCAAAGGGGTTTTTTCCTAGTTTGAAATATTTTGATCATAACAATAAAACCTTTTCCAGGAACTTCTGCCTACTAAACAAGAAAACAAAAAATCTCTTTCAAAAAATATGGATGCATTTGAAAAAGTGAGAGCAAAATTAGAAACACAGCCACAAGAAGAATATGAAATCATCAATGCAGAGGTAGGATACCTTATCTCTTTTTTAAAAAATTTTGATATTACCAATCAAAATGCAATGTGATTCATAGACGTAATCCCACATCAAAATTATACTGCTTTTGGCCTTTAAAATGTGCTGAAAAACTTAAAGAACAAAGAATAAGCAGAGTGTGATCCTTAAAATAAATTGAAAGATCAATACTAAGGTGAATTTCCAACCATATCTTAATTTTGGTTTTGAGGAACAACCAGTTCTGATTTTAAATTTTTTAAATTAGTACAAGGAGAAGTTAAAATCAAACTATTTCATATTTCCTTATTATATTATTTGGAAATTATTTGATTAGTTTGTCTGCTTTTTTTTAAAAAAAAAAAAAAAAGGAAATTCACTTTAAGTAGTATAATACCAGGAAAGCCAAGTATTTGTCTAACCAATATATGGTTACCACAGTGACAAATAGTCAAATGAAATGGATTAACTATACATATTGAAAATTTTTCAATAAAATTGGAAAACAGAACCACAGATTGTAAGTGAAAATCACATACATAGTAAAATGGTAATAACAGTAGTTTAAGAATCAAGAATTCCAGATTTAAATTATGCCACTAGCTAGCAGGTACTAAATGTGTCTTAAGCCACCGAAATATCGATCAATTGCATTTAATATATGGAGCACTGTGCATGCATGGGTAATATTCATTGCCTCAATCTCAAGTAGTCTGTATTTGTCACCCCACAGAGTATGAGATACTTTGTATAAAATCAAATAAAGACTGTACAGGTGGTGATCACAGCATATTTTAAAGGAAAGAATCTCAAAAAGTTATTGATTTTCTGGCTAATCTGAGCCCATTTCCCCATCTGCATCATTTTGGATTACCTTAAACATGCCACTTGATCTCAGTTCATTGAAATCACAATACAGATATTAGATGTTTCCAAAATATAGCTGAAGTGATTTGTACAGTCCTGAAAACTAACATAGGGTTTGTTATATCTTTTATTTCCTCTTGCATTTATGTATTAGAAACCCCTTCAGTGATCATGAATATATGAAAAGCATGTCTTACTAACTATATTGTAAAAAGTGGTCCATTTTGGATTTCATATGTGTTCATTACTATACTTTAACAAGTCTCATTTCTTCATTTTGAATAGTCAGACAAAAGGTTAATTAAATTATTATTAAATAAACCATTCGTTTCTTTCCATTGTCAGATTAAACATGGTGGTTTCGTTTATTATCAAGAAGGTTGCTGCTTGGTTCGTTGCAAAGATGAAGAAGGTATACCACTATTTTTCCTTTTAACATGCTCCAATTTTTCAGATTTCACATTTTTATAGGAAATTTGATATTTCTTAAAAGTATAGAAAATATTTTTTAAACGTTATTTCTGAATTGTCTTTTTTTTTTGAATGACTAGTTTTTAATATCTAGGTTTGCTAAAATATAGTTAACAATTACACTCAAAAGTTTAGGCAGGGGCCAGGCACAGTGACTCACGCCTGTAATCCTGGGAGCCCGAGGCAGGTGATCGTTTGACCTCAGGAGTTCGAGACCAGCCTGAGCAAGAATGAGACCCAGTCTCTACTAAAAATAGAAAGAAATTAGCTGGACAACTAAAAATATATAGAAAAAAATTAGCTGGGCATGGTGGCACATGCCTGTAATCCCAGCTACTCGGGAGGCTGAGGCAAAAGGATCACTTGAGCCCAGGAGTTGAGGCTGCTGTAAGCTAGGCTAACGTCACAGCACTCTAATCTGGGCCACAGAGCATGACTGTCTCAAAAAAAAAAAAAAGTTTAGGCAGGGAGAATGAAAATGGGATCCAGCATTTTTTGAGCATCTACTATGTTTCAGGTACTGTGCTAGGCATTTTACATATATTGATGTCATTTTTATTCCCATATTCTAGGTTCTATATAGTCTATAAATACTAGACTATAACAATATTGAATAACTCATAGGTTGATGCATAGAATAATATTGAATAGCATAAGATTATATTAAATAACTAATGCCTGTTTGTGTGAAAGTCACGCTGCCATCATTGTTGAAGGAAGCCAGAATATGGCCTCTTATAGAATGCATGGTGGCACACACCTGTAGTCCTGGCTACTCAGGAAGCTGAGTCAGGAGGATCACTGGATCCTAGGAATTTGAGGGTGTGGTGAGCTATGATCATGCCACTGTACTCTTAGGCTGAGTGACAGAGCAAGACCCTGTCTCAAAAAAGACCAAACAAGCAAAAAGATGCATCTTGTGGAGTTATCTCTTTCATATATTTTTCTTTATGCAGCAGACAATGATAATTATGAAGTTTTATTCAATCTGGAGGAACTGAAGTTAGACCAACCCTTCATTGATTGTATCAGAGTTGCTCCGGATGAAAAATATGTGGCTGCCAAGATAAGAACTGAGGATTCTGAAGCATCTACCTGTGTAGTCGTGAAGCTCAGTGATCAGCCTGTAATGGAAGCTTCTTTCCCAAATGTGTCCAGTTTTGGTAAGCCAACAACTGAAATAGTCCTTCTGTGTTGAAAAGAGAACAACAGTAAGAGAATTTTCCATACTTTTGAAATTTGTTTTTTTGCCATGTGAATAAAGGAGAAGACAAAGCGAGTGCCTGATCCTGTGGACTCCACATCCTCCTACATGCCTCTCATTCAGAACTTTCCTTCTTTAGTTGTGTATCTAAATGAATAATTTTTAAATAATGCTCATGTTTTAGAAGCATTATAATCAGACTCCAAGATGTACAGTGTATTTCAACATATCATTGATTCTTTGCCAATTTATTGTTTAGAATAGATTTTTGCATGTAAGTTGCATCTTAATGTTTCATTCAACTTTAAGCTTGGATATATTTTTTTAATTTCATGTTAAAGAGTTATTATAGGCCGGGCGTGGTGGCTCACACCTGTAATCCTAGCATTCTGGGAGGCCGAGCAGATCACTCAAGGTCAGGAGTTTGAAACCAGCCTGAGCAAGAGCGAGACCCTGTCTCTACTAAAAATAGCAAGAAACTAATTGACCAACTAAAAATATATATATAAAAAATTAGCCGGGCATGGTGGCACATGCCTGTAGTCCAAGCTACTTGGGAGGCTGAGGCAGAAGTATCGCCTCAGCCCAGGCGTTTGAGGTTGCTGTGAGCTAGGCTGACGCCACGGCACTCTAGTCCGGGCAACAGAGTGAGACTCTGACTCAAAATAAAAAAAGTTATTATAGCAAATTGCCCAAAGTCACTGCTAAAGAACTTTAAAATGTGTTGAATGAACTTATTCATCAGTGGAAGCTGTGACATTTTTAGTAACAGAACTAACTAAATTTTATCATTTATCATTGAGTGGTACATACATGTTCATACTTGGTCCTTCCTTTTTATTTTCTGCCATCATTTTCTCCATTATTTAAATACTTTAGGAAGAAATTGAAATTATACCCTATCTAATGGATTCTAAGACCTTTTGTACATTTTGACCTCTAAAATTTTGACTTACAATCACTGTCAACAAGGTGGCAGTCATGATGTAATTGTGCGTAAACTTCCTTTTACAGCTTCTAGAGAGATCAAGAACTGGCATTAGAATGTATTTAGTCATTGGAGATATCCTGTGGCTTGAAGGCAGACAGAAAAGATTCAGGCATGAGAGAAAAATGCAGTATCTTTTTTTTTTTTATACTTTTTCTTCTTTTCTTTATTTTTTTTTTTACTTTCATCACAAAGAAAATCAAATGTAGACAAGCAGTATCTTTTTAGACTTAAAGTTTCAAGTTGTAGATTTAGATATGTCATTTCCTGAAAGCAAATGTGACTTTACCAACATCATTCTTAAATATTGAACATTTAACTCTTATTTAGAAATTTGAGTACACTAAGACTGATAACTACTTAAAAACTTAGAACTGAGGTAGTAGTGTTTTATTCTATGTAAAGTTCTCTGGCTTATGCATAACACAGGTTAGATACAGACAAACCTGTTATATTTCGATTTCTAGGGGATAGACTTGCACATCTCTTCTCTTTGACACTCAAAATTAGAATGTGCTGTGCCTTTTTTTTTAACTGTATACTGGTAGCTATGTATAATTCTTTAATTTCTTTCAGAATGGGTAAAGGATGAAGACGAAGAAGATGTTTTATTCTACACCTTCCAGAGGAACCTTCGCTGTCATGATGTATATCGAGCCACTTTTGGTGATAACAAACGTAATGAACGTTTTTATACAGAAAAAGACCCAAGGTACTAGGATGATTCAATTAAATCTTTTTCTCAAGAATAATTTCTCCAGTTACTTAAAGTGCTGATCTTGGTTGACTTAAAATGTTGACTTTTGTTGGAACCAGATATAATAAGGCTAAGATGATCATTCTTTTATTAGTTGTTTGTATTCAAACTTGGAGTCTGGTTATATATATATATATATATATAATATACTCCAGAGTAAATACAAATAACATTATTAGACTGCAAATGCTGAGTTATTGTCTCTGGACTGTGACACATGAGAAGAATTGTTGAAACATTTAATAGGGCTGCCCTATAGCAATTACAAATTTCTCATAAGTCATAACTAGAATACCATAGTGTCATTTGCACAGAATTCACTCACTACTCATTTCATATGGATTATCTGAATTTTAAATTGCTTTGCTTTGAGCCATGATGTCCACGGGCCTTTGAAATTTACATTTCCCAGTACTCTTTGGTAACTCTTCCTTAAAGCTAATTTTCTCTAATTCCGTATAAATTATAGGGCTCATAGCCACTTAACCAGGCAAGGGGGGAAATGATGACAAATTTATCCTACAAAATCTCTTGAGTCTTACCCAGGTATACTTTTCCAAATGATATATGAAAAACAAATTTTGCCTTATTACAAGGGTCCTGTCACCTCATACGTCATTTAACAGTGTAGTTTGGACAATGTCTGAATAAATTTTGTAAGAAAAAAAGTGGAATTTAATCTTAAATCTATGATGGTGAAGTTGGTATCCAAAACAAGAAAACTAACCCTTCATTTCATAAACATTTCAGAGATGAAAATGACCTTAAAGAAAATCTTATACAATCTTCAGTTTATATTTAAAAAATATAGGTGGATAAATTACATTATTATATTATTCCAACTCATAGAACTAATCCATAGGTAAAGTTCACCCACTGACTTTATAATTTATTTAAAGAGTTCTGGGTACCTGATTTTGAAAAAGATATTGTTACAAATGTGGCCAGAAAGAGCCCCCACCAGCCAGGTTCTTCATCTACTTTGTTTCCAGTACTTCAGTAGATTTGGTTGTTCAGTGCTAGTTTTCTATTTTGATATTAGAGTGCCTCCAAAAATCTTGTTTTGGGAAAATGCCTGCTATTCTGTTCTTAAAGATTGGTACATTTTGAATATCAATTCTTCCATTTTCAAATATTTCCAAAGCCATTTAATTAAACATTACGAGGAAAGCAGTATTATATAGATTCTGAAGGGAAAGATCTAGACAGAATTAAAAGACCTAATTTTTAAGTTACTCAAAAGCAACCCTCCCCTCGCCAAAAAAATATTTTTTTCTGGTGCAGATGCTATTCAGTGTACAATTTACAGTGTGGTCCTACCTCCAGGTACTAGGAACAGAGCTAAATGAGGAAAGCCTGGGAGGCAGCCTGGTCACTGAAGACTCTGGGGATCCAAACCCCAGAGATCCCAGTGAGGCAGGCTTGGCGCAACCTGGAATGTATTAAGCCACACCAAACACTTGGCAGTTTAGAAAGTTCAAGTAAGAGGAATTTGAGAGGAATAGCTTTAACTTTTTTAGAAATATGTCTGTTGGAGTCCACAGACGGTTAAAGAATTAAATTATAGCCGGGCGCGGTGGCTCACGCCTGTAATCCTAGCTCTTGGGAGGCCGAGGCGGGCGGATTGCTCAAGGTCAGGAGTTCAAAACCAGCCTGAGCAAGAGCGAGACCCCGTCTCTACTATAAATAGAAATTAATTGGCCAACTGATATATATATAAAAAATTAGCCGGGCGTGGTGGCTCCATGCCTGTAGTCCAGCTACTCGGGAGGCTGAGGCAGAGGATCGCTCGAGCCAGGAGTTTGAGGTTGCTGTGAGCTAGGCTGACGCACGGCACTCACTCTACAGCTGGACAACAAAGCGAGACTCTGTCTCAAAAAAAAAAAAAAAAAGAATTAAATTATACAGCTAACTCTTCAGCCACTGCTCTTCCTTTATGGCAGAACCTAAATCCTCCAGGAAAAAATGGAATTAGCCTGAAATGACTCCTTCCATTCTGTCTGGCAAGTGGCTGTAGTCATTACTTCCACATATTGTCTGGTTAATCTTGGTTAAGCCATTTCTTCTATTCTAAGCAAATAAAATCTAGACAGCATAATAGAGGGAAAGTATTTTCAACAAAAAGAGAAATTAATACGCTTAATTTGTAAAGAGCTATTTACATATGAATAATTTAAACACCTTCCAACTTTAAAATTGACACAGACATTTCACAAAAGAAAAACAGTTGGCAAATAAACATGGTAATTTGTCCAATACAGAAGAAATTTTACCAAATATAAGCTGTGCTTATCTCTGGGCAAAGGGATTCGGGTTACGTGCTTCTTGACAGTTTTCAGTATCTTCAGTATAGATTACTTTTATAATAAGGAAAATGTAAATATAACATTTAAAGCCATCCAGTATGTCAGTATGAAGTAGTACCATGCTCTTTAGCACATTATTTGGTTATGTTTATCAAGTCATAAAAATATCTAATCATTAAATTACTATTTGCATTCCTAAGAATTGTCCTAGGAAATAATTATAAAATCCAGGAAGGTTATATTCTTTATTATATGAAACATTAAAATCTGAATTTTAAGAATTATGATATTCAACCTGATATAATATTAGTTGGCCATTAAAAATAATAATCATAAAGATTTTAACTAATATGGGGGAATATTGCTATTATGTGAAATAAGAATGCAGAATCAAAAATTGTATCTGTATTATATTACTTCGTTTTGAAGACATGCGTGAAATCTAAATAAACATCAGAGGGAAACGTAGAAAAGTAAAATAGTTCATCCTTTAAATGTGTTAAGTTAGTGTCTTCGCTGATATTTGTGGAGGTTTTTCCTCAGATTGTTCTATTTTGTTGTAAAACTGGGAAGGGGGTAAAATCCAATACATATACTGAGAACAAAACAAGAATAAGCTTTGTGTACCTTTCTTCCCTATTATTTCATATCTCCTCTGGAAAGTTTATTTCTTCTCTCAGCAAAAACCACATTATGTATTAATGTGGTAAAGTGAGAGATGATGTCTGTGTGTCCACATAAAGATATAATTAATGAATGCATAGATATGTGGTAAAAGAACTAAGCAAATGTTAGCAATGATAGAATCTAGATTGTGGGTATGTGGGTGTTTGCTTTACAGTTCTTTCAACTTTTCTGTATGTTTGAGAAACATTTATGATAAAATGTTAGAAATAAATGATTTTGTCTTCTATGGTGGAATAAGGAAAATAATGCCAGTTAATTTACAAAAATATTCAGTAAGGAATTATTTTATTTTCTTTCTGCATTATAATTAACATGTTTACTTTCCTCAGCTTGCTGGAGCTTATACAACAAAAAAAAAGGAAAAAAATTAACATGTTTACTGACTACCTCTGAGATAATGTCATTAACAAAGGTAGCATGCAACTGAAAATTTACTGGATTCACGTTTCTCTCTCTCTCTCTCTCTGTCTAGCTACTTATTTTCCTTTATCTTACAAAAGACAGTCGTTTCCTCACCATGAATATTATGAACAAGACCACTTCTGAAGTGTGGTTGGTAGACGGCCTGAGCCCTTGGGACCCCACCAGTACTTATCCAGAAGCGAATAC